TACTTTAAAATTACTAAATGTCATTATATTTTAATTTGTATTTTTACATTAATAATTTTTAAAAGAGTTGGTTTTCGAGTTAACAATCAATGAGAACTAATTGAAGTTTTACTCGTTTATTAATCGAGATTGAACTCATGAGCCATTTATAAATCTTCTTTAATTCCAACATTGGATGGGGATCATAGGGAAGGAAAAAATATTTCTTAATAAAAGATTTTAATAGCTTTTTTTTTTCAAAAGAGAAGATTTGAATGCCCAATATTAGTTTATTTGCATGGAAAAATAAGTGATATAATGTTCATTCACATGCCAAACATCATTTATTATTAATAATTTTCCTAAAATTCGAGTTTAATTTTAAAAAATACATTATTAATTTATTCTTATTTGTAATAATCATTTTTATTAAAATTTTATTTTTTTTTAAACATTTTAAAACTTATTTTTCCATTTTTTTTATCTTAAATTTTTTCTCTAAAATTTTAGATATTAAATTATTTACTTAAGCATCTTTAGTTTATCATGTTTGATCAACTCTATAAATTATTTTCTACTTCCATTAATTCTTTACTTATTGTTGACATGAATATCTAAAATAATTCTCTAAATATTTACAATTTTAAATTAAATATGCAAGAAATTATTCTTAAACTTAATTATTTTACATGTTTTTACAGGGCCATTCTATTAAAAATTTTTGAGCCGTTCCAAACGAAAGGGGGCGACACAGGCCCAGCGAAAAATGTTTAAAATTTATATGTTAAACTCCTTAAGGCCCATTTTGGCTAAGGCTTTGTTTGGCAACAGCGTTCTCCCTACTTTTTGAAGCAAATTTTTAGTAGAAAAATAAAAAATTATATAAAAAATTACTTTAAGAAGCAGTAAGAAAGTCATCCCAAACGAAGCCTAATCAGCACAGAGCATCAAAAAGTTGCTTAGAGATAAAAATATTTACTAAGGAAAATTAAGAGATTTAGGCTTGGTGGGACGACTTTCTTTCTCCTTCATAAAGCCAGCTTTTTTAGACAAAATCCAAAAAAAAATTTGTACTAGAAGCCTGCTTTAAGAAGCAGAATGAAAGCTATTCCAAACGAAGCTTTAGTTAAAAACAGAAAATATTTATATAAGATGTTACAAGATAGTTTTTTTTTTTTTTTAATTTTGTTTTACATACCATAAGAGATCGCTCAAAATTTATTATTATTTAATGATAAAATTGATGCTTATAGTCTAAGAGGATATCATAACTTTGGAATAAATATAAATTGTAAATTTTGATGATATTTTTGCATTGATTAACTACAAAGACATTGAAAAGTAAATAATTCATGATGAAATTTTGGTACTTACTCAGAAAAAGTACATATTTTAGAGTGTCTCTAGTAATTCTAAAAAGGTCCCAAATAATTCTTACAAAGAATCTCATACCTAACATAGAATTTCTTGGCTTAGTTTATAAGGTTATTTTATTGAAATAATTCAATTGAAGCGATTAAAATAACATTCAATGAGAAGGTTTAGGTTTATGTTTGAGACAGAATTTTCTTATTTATTTTTAAATGATCATTTACGGCTACAAAAGTTTTTTTGAAAGTAGTAAAAACAGGTACAAAAGCTGATCCCAAAATGAAACCTCTAGTTCTCTACATGAATCAAATGAATTAAAATGCGAATAATAAGGATTATTAGTGAATAAAAAAATTTAAAAAGAATCCATCAACCTATCTCCAATAACATGTAAAAAGATGATAAACACATCCAATTATTGGCTGGATATAACATACTCGTCCATCGAAGAAAGAATTTCCCTATTTGAAAACATTTGTAATATTTAATTTCGTTGTGGAGCTTTCTTAAACTTTGTTCAGGCAGCTTTCTTGTACAAAAAATTTCGAAATGTTGAATTTAAGAAGAATAAAAAAACCGTCTCAACGAATCCTAGGCCTTCATTTGAAATATGGCTTTTTCACTGCATTTCAAAAGCGAGCTTTCAAGTACAAAAATTCAATGAAAACAAAGAAAAAATAATGACAAAAAATTGCCTCAAATGAAACCTAAATTATCACTTAAAATTAACCTAAATTTAAGCCGAGCGGTTGAGTAGGAAAATTCTTACCAAGTGCCTTAAAAAAAAATTGAAAATTTGTTGCATGAAATCTTGTTTTATGGTGTCAGCCCATCGAAAGCAAATAAGTGTTATAATCTCTAAAATTTTTTTTATATGTGAAATTTGAAATACAATCTAATTTTATTTTACTTTTGCTTAAATTGTTATATGTACATATCTATCTTAAGTGTAACCAATAGGCTGGTTGTAACATGTGGTTGATATTTCCCTTAGATAAGATTCAAAAGTTAAGATCAAAGAATATGCAGAGAGTAAAGAACAACAAATTTAATATTAAAAATAATTTGAAACCGGAAAAAATCCACGGAAGTAGTACACCATTACCAAGAAATTCACTATGAAATTAGGATAAATTTATACAGATCTCTCTTCCTCTCTGCCTCCTTACTTGCTTATATTCTCTTCATACTTTCTTTATACAAGAACAGACAAAGAAGATACAATTCAATGCCACCTAAGGGAAGCCACCCTTAGAAAAATGAAAGAAAAACTATCCAACCGGCCTCGTAGTGCTACCGTGCATTTGGAGTCGCCGGGTGCTCTAACCGCTATGTCTCTAGGTCTGCCTGACAGCAACGCTGACTCCAGATCTGAGCGTCGTAGCGCTCTGCTCACTGTCTTTCTTTCAAGCCAAATTATGTAGTGCCAAGGCGCTCCGGGTTACCACAATGTCATTGGGGTGCCTCTGGGGTACACAGTTGTCGGGTGTTGTTGAGGAAAAAAAAGATAATTAAATCAAAATTAGGGTATTCAAAATAGATTCTGCATAGGAACCAATAATCAAGCATGATCAGATATGCAGACGTAAATTATTCAAAATGTCTCAGCATGAAATTTCAACATCAAGTTCAACCTTTTTATCCCACAATTGGGTGTGTGGTGTCTATATCATAAATCCTTTTTTTCTCCATTTCATCAGATTAAGAGTTCAAATTCGCTTTTACATTTAATAAAATAATGCATTTTTAATGCTTTCTAACAAGTCTTTTTAGGTTTATTTTCTTAACTAGCGGGTGTAAAAAAAACGGAATTCGGGTCGAACTCGAACAGTGATCTGTTATTGTTCCACACGATCCTGAACCCACAACAGTTTTTTTGCAAAATGGGATCAGATTTTATTAACTCCGAACCTAAACTCACAAATAACTCAGGTTAACCCGACCTTACACGTAACTCTCGGAGCCGAGCAGAAAAGCAGGAATGGCGAACGCTGCCCCTCTAACGAGACTGACTCAGAAGTCAGTAGCTTTTGTTTGGACATCGGAGTGTGAAGCTAGTTTTCAGCGATTGAAAGATTGTTTGACATCTGCCCCGGTATTAGCACTTCCGTCAGGTACGGAAAGATTTCAGGTATTCAGTGATGCTTCACTGAAAGGTTTGGGTTATGTCCTAATGCAGCAAGGAAAGGTAATTGCTTATGCCTCACGATAGTTAAAACCACATGAAAAAAATTACCTGACGCATGATTTAGAATTGGCTGCAGTTGTATTTGCTTTGAAGATTTGGCATCATTACTTGTATGGCTTTCAGGTGTGAGATCTTTACAGATCATAAGAGTTTGAAGTACATTTCTACTCAGAAGGATCTGAATTTGAGGCAAACAAGATGGCTTGAGTTGATCAAGGATTACGATCTGACGATTCAGTATCAGCCTGGTAAGGCTAATGTGGTAGCAAACGCTCTTAGCAGGAAATCTTCTAGATTATCAGGTATTCAGCTTACTTCTGATACGTATCTGATACGAGAGATGAAAAGACTACATTTCAAGGTGATTTCCTCTACTAGTCTGGATTCTGGTGTGTTGACTCAGATGGACATTTAGTTTTCATTAGAAGAGAGGATTGTTGAAGCTCAGAAGTCAGACTCTGAATATGCAAAGCTGATTGTTCAGATTGAATCTGGTAAGAAATCTGAACTACGAATTTCTGATTATGATGATATTTTCTATAAGAACATGCTATGGATTCTTGTGTTTGGAGATCTAAGGAAGGAGATTCTACATGAATCTCATTATTCAGGCTATATCATTCATCCATGAAGTGGTAAGATGTATGGAGATATGAAGAGTTTGTTTTGGTGGCCTGGAATGAAAAAGGATGTATCAGAGTTTGTTTCGAAATGTGAAGCCTGTCAGTTAGTGAAGGTAGAGCATCAGCGACCAGGAGGTCTTTTGCAGTCGTTGCCTATCCCTGAGTGGAAGTGGGAAGAGATAACGATGGATTTTGCTATGGGTTTTCCTCGATCAAGGCAAGGACATGATGCCATTTGGGTGATTGTAGATCGATTGACAAAGTCTACACATTTTCTTCCGATCAGACAGATGGATCCGGTGGACAAGTTAGCTCAGATATATGTTAAAGAAATTATTATATTACATGGTGTGCCTAAAATGATTGTATCTGATCGAGATGGACGATTCACTTCCAGACTTTGGAAGGGTATTCAGCAAGGCTTGGGTACGAAGTTGCATTTCAGTACGGCTTTTCATCTGCAGACTGATGGACAGTCTGAGAGGACTATTTAGGTACTGGAAGATCTTCTGAGGCTATGTGTTCTGGATTTTGGAGGTAGTTGGGAGGATCACATTTCTTTGATAGAATTTGCATATAATAATAGTTTTCAGTCTAGTATTGGTATGGCACCTTACAAAGTTTTGTATGGCCGAAAGTGTAGAACCCCTTTGACCCTGACTAAAATGGGAGATAAACAAGAAATGGGTGCAACTTTTGTGGATGAAACTGTTCTGAAAATCAATCTAATTAAAGAAAGATTGAAAGCTGCACAAGACAGACAACATAAGTATTACAATTAGAAGCACAGGTTTGTTGAATTTCAGGTTGGTGACTTTGTGTATGTCAAAGTCAGTCCGATGAAAGGTGTTAGCATATTTGGAAGGATAAGCAAGCTTAGTCTAAGGTATGTTGGACCTTTTGAAACCCTTGAAAGGATTGGAAAGTCTGCTTATATGTTGTTATTATCTGATCAAATGTCTGACGTACATAATGTGTTTCACGTATCCTCTTTGAGAAAGTGGATCTCTGACTCTGAAAAGAAACTTTCTGTTGATGATGTGGAGATTCAAGAGAATCTGCAGTATAAGGAAGTGCCTGAGCTTATTTTAGCTTATGATGTGCGTAAGTTAAGAAATAAACAGATTCTGATGGTTAAAGTGCAGTGGAAGCACAGAACAGCACGAGAAGTTACTTGGGAGAAAGAGTCGGATATGAGACAGTCATACCCGCATCTATTCTGGCTCAGTTTTGTTTTTGGAAATGTCAAGGATGACATTTTTCTGAAGTTGAGGAGATTGTGAAAGCTGTTTTTCCTTCCAGGTTCGTTCGAACGTAGGTGGATCGTCCGGGATGATCGGTACAGGTTGTAAAGGAATTTCTGGACAGAGAAGTTCGTCCCAGGACGAACTGGGGTTCGTCTGGACGAAAGTTTTCTAGAGAGCAACTCGTCCAAGTACGATTACTGTACACGTCCGAACGAATGATGTCCAGAGGGAAAATCGTCCCGGGACGATCTAGTTGGATATATATGGAAATGAGATCTTTTGAAGAGATAGAAAAGCCAATAAGAGAGAAATTCGAAGGAAAAAGAAGAAAAGTGGATTTTTGGGCAACTTCGCTCTGTTTTCGTCCGTCTCCATAGTTGAAGAAGTTGACCGACTCGAGATAAGGCACATTCCGCCTTTCTCAATTTTCAGAAACGATGATTTTGATGACTTTTTTGTTTCGGATTTTGTTTCCGTTAGCGAATAATTGATTCCATTTTGTACTGATAAAGGTTTTACCGCGTAACTTTTGGTATGTTTCTGAGATGATAATTGTGCACGTTTTTAGTATTTTCTGGAATATTTTTACCGAGTATTTTGAGTTCTGTAGAGTTTTGATCGAATAACAATTTATCTGGATGTATGAATTTACTGTCTCAGTACAATAAAGTCTTACAATGTTGTTTTATACTATCTGTGATAATTTGGTAAATTTCTGAAATTTGTGAATTCAGTATAAATTTCGTATACTATCGTTATGCTGTTAACAATTTTTCTAACGAAATATGATTTCTGAATTGAATGTTTTGATGTGTTGTGATATCAGAAGGGAGTCATAAGGGGCCATAATCCTTTGAGATTCTATCTGTGTCAGGGAAATCTGAGAAATCTAAAAATAAGTTCTATTCTAAAAATTCTGTATATCTGTTCTATTCTGGTGCTATAAGCACAAAGGGAGACATAAGGGGCCAAAATTTGGGATTCTGTCAGTGTCAGGAGAGGGAGGCATAAGGGGTCAGAATCCGTAGAGATTCTGTAAGTGTCTGGGAATCTGAAATCTGATATGTGATCTGATGTTGAAATGTGATTTTATCTTAATTGAAATCTGTTCTGTACGATTCTGTCTGTTCTAGACGATTCTGTTTGTTCTGTACGATTCTATTTGTTCTCTACGATTATGTTTATTCTGTATAATTCTGTTCGCTCTGTACGATTTTTGTTTATGAAGTGAATTCTATTTTTCTATATCAGTGATTTGACTTCTATTTGAGCAAGTGTCTGTATGCTGATGACTATATGATTTCTATACGATTTATGTACGCTATTGGAATATCTGGTTCTGATTTATTTTCTGATGTGAATTTCTGGAGATTTTGATTGGTGAGTGTAGTCTTGCTGAGCTGTTAGCTTATTCTTGTTTTCTGCGTGATTTTCAGGATCTGGGAAAGGGAAGGAAGTCTTGGACTATAAGTTTAGGGTTTTGTACTTTTTATTTTTGTACAGTCATGACTTTTCTGTTCTGTTCTTTCTGTCTGTAAGCCATGAACTATATTGTACATGATTATTTTGATGAAAGAAATATAGATGAAATGTTCTGTATATTTGAAAGTCTATAGCAGCTCTGTGTTTCTGTTATTTTTACATTTGGAAGAAAGTTCTGAAGCAAGTCTCAAAACTAGATCCTGGATTTTAAGTTTCAAGTTCTGTCGCGAATCGATGCGAGCGGGATCCGTTCCGATCGGGTTGGGTCGTGACACTTTGGTGCTTGAGAAAATCCAAGAAGATCCTTCCAAAGACCTAATTTTTGCTATTTAAACGTCATCACCCTTAGATCTACTGCTATGATCTAATCCTTAAGCAATTAGGAGAGAAACCAGCTCCCCCTGGCCGTGATTTGCAATTCAAATCCATTGGGGAGGAATTTAATGCATTAAATAAGTTTTAATGGGTTTTAATGGCTTGATTTGACTCATTATGACTTGGGTTGACCAAGTCAACTATTTGACTTGGTCAACCTAGTCCAATGGGTCCAAGAGAAAGGTAGATTGAGCCATAGAACCCTTGAATTAGCTTTGAAATTGAATTAGGCCTATTAAGGTCAATTGGGTCAAACCATGTTGACTTGGTCAACTGGGTTGACCTAGGGCATAAGTCTGGGTCTAGGAGATTGAGCTCGACCTACTAAGTCCAAGGGTGAAGAGAAATGGGCTCGAGGACGCTTGAATTTGATATGAAATCAAGTGGAAGGGAATCAGTGTCAATTTGGGTCAACCCTGGTTGACCTGGTCAACCAGGTTGACCCAGGACTAGGTTTGAGCTCAACAAACTTGGCTTGACTCTCTGGACCATTGGGATGGATCCTGGGGTCTAGCCTGGTCAATCTTGACCAGATCAACTCCTTGACTCAATCTGGAGCAAAAAACAGGTCAACAGCTCACAGCCAGCCAAACTTCCTTCCTAGCCATAAATCTCTCTCCAATCATGGAAATCATGTGATTCATCCCGCCTTGTTTGATTTCGCCTGCCTATATCTTCCCTTTCATGCCATTTAAACCTAGTATAGAACTTAGGCTAATGAATCATCTTTTTTATATTCTGTAACAGCCATCAAACTCTCCTTTTCTCCTCCTTTGTTTCTTTCTTGAAATAGTAGCTATCGGTGAAGTGTGAACTCTTCTCAAACTCCTCTCCTTCTACATGAGTTTTCTCTCTCATTCTCTCTTTCCACCGTTCTTCTTGTTTATTCGCAAGGTATAGATTTTAGCTAGATTTGTTTTGTATTGTGTTGAAATGCTATTATGATGAATTTACTCTGGCTTTGGGAAGGAAATTAGATTTAAGATTATATTTGATTTAATCAAAACTCTAAATTATCTTATATCATTTAGAAGTACCATTAATCCAGATTTAATTATTTGTGTAGTTTTCTTTTAGTTTTGATCTCCATAAGATGTCTTGGTAAGTCTTAGATTAGATTGGATTTTTTTGGTGTGACTAAAGATTTATTAGGATTTTCTTTGTCACACTTTGAATCCGGAAGGCGATATACTCCGGCAATGCAGGACACAATAAAAGGATATAAAGACTCTTTTGTATTCACAAAGAGGGTCATGCATATACGAGATACAACACGATATATATAGGTTTTTTTATACAACACGATATATATATATATGAAAAACTCGGTACAACTCGGTATTTCTCGGTACAGCTCGGTATTGGTCTTCAAAGAGCGGTATTCCTCGTTAATATCAAATAATACCTAGTTGTACCAAGCAAATATAGAGTTTTTTAACGGAATTTTGCCTTCAACCGGATGTTCCTCTACGTCCTTACACCGGACGTAATAAAAGTTCATCACAAAGAGGACAATTTTGGGATACGAACTCAGCTCACTCGCTTTAGGTGATTTAACATTACCAACAAAGCCACCGAGCAATTATTGTTTCTACTTTTACTATTTTTTATTTATTTTCTAATTATGTGTTAAAACTTTTTTTAAATAACTAATACATATTTAAGCAGAAACAAAATAATAATAAATTTATGTCTAATACAACTAATAGAATATAAAATTTGATGAATCGTTAAAATAATATTAATATTTTTGAATGATCAAAATATTACCTCACTAAAAACTATTAAATAGAAAAGATAAAAAAAGCACCCTAACATATTTGAGAGTAATTAAAAATTATCAATTTGTGCCCAAATAATTTTTATCTATTTTTAAATTTACATAAACAAATAAAAAATAATGTAACTAAACAATCACTAATTTATTTAAATAATATTTGATCAATAACCATTTTTAAACCAAGAATAAAGAAACCAAACAACCTAAATAGGTAGAAGCCGAGCGGTTTTGTAGTCGGAATGACGGACGGTTTACGATTTTAGAATAAATTTTCTTGCCGCCGGTGAGGTGGTTAGGTTTGCTTTTCCTTATTTAGGTTTGCTTTTCTTTATTTATATAATGCATAAACGGAGCTTCGAGCCATTCAATGGCGTTTGCCTGTCTACGATTTGCTTTTTCCTCTTCTGCATTTGTTCTAAGCTTCTCTGCCTCCTCCTCCTAAGTCCTGTCGGATTGGTAGCCGCGCCGGGAGCTCGCCGCGAAGATAACATTTGATCTCTCCTTCTTCAGCACCTCTTGGGGATTCTTACTCCCGACAGGAATTCCTCTTTTCCATCAGATTAGACGAAGCTTTAGCTATTTTGATCGGAAGAAGAACGAGCGCCGGATCTGAGGAAGAATGTCTTACGCTTACCTTTTCAAGTACATCATAATCGGAGACACTGGTTCGCTTCTCTGATCCCTTCTTAAGTTGTTTTGTTAATCAGAAGAAGCAATGTTTTGGGAACCAATTGAATGAAATTATGTTTGTGATTATCTGTGAGTAGTATCTGTAGTGATTTTTTTGGGAACCAGTTGAATGTAAACATTTCTTATAATTTCCTTTCAGGTGTTGGGAAATCATGTCTCCTATTGCAATTCACGGACAAGAGGTTTCAACCTATACATGATTTGACTATTGGTGTTGAGTTTGGTGCTAGGATGATCACCATTGATAACAAGCCGATCAAATTGCAAATATGGGATACGGTAGTATTTTTCACTTTGTTATGAATTAGTAATTTGTTTGTAGATTACTACCCATTTACTTGTCTAAAATGTGGTATTTGGCAATAGTATACCTTGCATGGAAAAAAAAAGTTTTAAAGTTGATCCTCGCCTTCTGGTAAATTGGTAGAGGTAGGCCTAAAAAGACTTGGATAGAAAGTATTAGAGATAACCTTTGTTTATTAGATTTAAATGAGAATTTGACTCTCCATATGACACGACGGAGAAAAAAAATTCATGGATAAAGGCTTGTTGTTGTTGTTGTACTCATTTTTTGTTAAATGGACCTAGAACCAAAAAAGGATGTGTTATAACTTAATTAATTTGAGATAGTGTCACCCCTGTTAGGATTAGATTTTGGGAAAGATAATGGAGGCATGTATGAAAGGAGAGGATAATTTAGAAGGGAAGGGAAATAAACATATGGAACAAGTGCTACCTTATATTGATCTTGCTTGCACTTAGTGTTTACGTGTATTCATTTTGCTACTCACTGTCCTCAATCCTTTTTTGTGAAATTGGTACACTTTTAAGTCCATGAAAAATAACTTTGAAAGACTCATTATAATGGAGTTGGAGTTGGCCTCCATAAAAAATAAATTGGAAATAGTTTTAGGTTTTTAGTGTGCTTCATATTACACCGTCATTTTCATAAAAATTGATTTCTCATCTAATGAAATATCTTATGTTATTGCTTGCCTTCAAAATTATGTGATCTAGTCTTAATAGGTTGTTTCCATAAGAATCCAATTATTATCTTCATGATTGAAGGGGTAAAATTGATCTTAAGTTATCTTTTTTAATTTTGACAATTTCAATGTTGATAGATCATGATTATTAGATTCTAATTTTAACCACGTAAGTGTATATGAGGATAGTTTCATCCAAGCAAAGTAGATTTTTTTATGTAATATTATATCCTAGAAACTAAGGCTTCGTTTGGGACGGCTTTCTTTCTGCTTCTTAAAGCAGTTTTCTTGTACAACAATGTTAATTTTTATATTAAGAAGTTACTTTTAGAAGCAATAAAAAAGTCGTCCCAAACGAAACCCAAATTTTTAAGATGATCCAATTTATGATCATCTCATTCAAAACTCTCTCTTTTACAGGCAGGTCAAGAATCATTCAGATCTATTACAAGGTCCTACTATAGAGGAGCAGCTGGTGCCTTGCTGGTATATGATATTACCAGGTATGCCTGCCATTTGTGATGCCTTAGTAATTGGCAACTTATTTCATTTTTGTTTATTTACCATATACCTCTTCATTGTGATTTACAGGAGAGAAACATTTAACCATCTTGCAAGCTGGCTTGAAGATGCAAGACAACATGCAAATGCTAATATGACTATTATGTTAATTGGAAACAAATCTGATCTTTCTCATAGAAGGGCTGTAAGTACTGAGGAAGGCCAACAGTTTGCCAAAGAACATGGACTAATCTTTATGGAAGCTTCAGCAAAAACTCCACAGAATGTTGAGGAGGTCAGCAGTAGATGAAATTTACTAGCCTTGTTTCTTTTAACTTACTCTATCATTTTATAATGTTTTGAATATTGTACAGGTAGTGGGATAAAGGTTTGATGTTGTTGTTGTTTTGTTGTTGTTGAATATTGTACAGGCATTCATTAACACAGCAGCTACGATCTACAAGAAGATTCAGGATGGTGTGTTTGATGTGTCAAATGAGGTATTTAGTTGCTTTCCTCTTCTCTCCTATCTAGATGGTTGTATTATGATATTTTATGATAAAATAAATACTTTTATTAGGCTTATTTCTGAAAGTCTTGTATAAATTTCATAGCTTTCTACTGCCCCTATCTTCTTTCTTAAAGGGAATAAGCAATTTTTAGATGTTTGATAAATAGCTGAGAGCAAAAGCCTAATTTTGTGGAAGTTGAAAAGTAGTTTTTTTTTTAGAATTGCAGTTTAGGTAGTTTTCTAGAATAGTGCTTTTATGGATTTAAGTTTTAGGCTTCGTTTGGGACGTTTTTCTTCTTGCTTCTTAAAATAACTTTTAAAGAAAAAATTAATATTTTTTACTAAAAAACTTCTTTAAAAAGAAGCAAAAAAACCGTACCAAATGAAGACTTAGCATCTAATAAATTATTAATTAAGATTGATATTGAAACACCTAGTTTTTCATATTTGTACTAATATTTAATATAATTCAAATATTATTTTTACAGTCTTATGGAATCAAAATTGGATATGGAGGAATACAAGGTCCAGCTGGAGGAAGAGATGAATCTTCATCCCAGGCTGGTGGTTGCTGCAGTTGAGCACCGAACGTTACTCTAGTCTGGTCCTTCGGAAATCGAGGTTGGATCCCTCTCGCTGCTTCCCTAGGGCTTCAGAGCTTTTGATGCCATGATTTTTATTGCCCGAATGTGTCGGTTCTTGCTCTCCTGAGCCCTCTTTTGACTAATTTTGCCTTTTTGGGGTGTTGTTTTGCCCTTTATAGTTGGTTTTTTGTGCATGGTTTTACTTGTAATTTCTTTATGGGTGTTTTTTGTGGTTCTTTGTAACCTCTCTTTTTAACATACGGACTTAGCCCCAAATTAAAAAAAAAAAAAAATTCATGTGTTGTGATTATTATCTATAATCTATTATTGTTTAGGTTTTTCATGACTCTGCAAATTTTTTTGTTTTTTGTTTTTTTAACTTTCTGAGTATATCTATTTGCTTGTTTACAATCATATGTATATCTCATTCGGTGATGCTTTTCATTGCAAAAATTTCAGCAATTTTATTTGTTTGGGAATGGTGTCCCTCTGACATTAACATACCTGTTAATGACCTCCCTACTTCGCAGAAACCCACTACCAAAATTCAATCCCCTTCCCACCCAAAGCAGACTCGAGGTAAGAATGCTCTTGATGTCCCCCCCGGAATGTGAGGGGGTTTAACAGACCCGACAAGGTGCACGCTTACAAAGGTCTTGTAAGCTCTTACAATCTGAAGTTGTTGTGTATTTTAGAAGCTAAAGTACACTTGTCCAATGTTGAGGACCCTTGGTTCATCAACTCTCATCTCATTTTTAACAATTAAAACTGCTGCAATAATTTTAGCCTTTATACCCCTAGTAGAATTTGGATTAAGTGTGATTCCTCCCACCTTTCTTTCTCTCCCTCCCTCTCATCTCAAATCATCCACGGAACTCTCTCTGTGGAATCTTTCACACCCGATTCTCCTGCCTGTCATTGATGCGGCCAACTCGGTCGATGATAGAAAAACTCTTTGGGATCAGTTAAGAAATTTGGTGCCTGACCCCTCTCAACCCTAGTTGATTATGGGAGATGTTAATTGCTACAAATTTGATTCTTATAAAGCAGGCGGCTCTCCTTTACCCTTGGGTTGATTGGGGGAGCTTAATAACGTTATTTCATATTGTGACATTCAAGATCGGCCTCCATGGGCCTTTTCTATAATTGGTTCAATCAGAGGATTGACTATCCCATACATATCAACCTGGACAGAGTACATATTAATTCAAAATTTCTTGACCTTTTCCCTCATGCCTTCCACAAAGTGGCTCCTCTTATGTGCTCTGATCATTCTCCTTTAATAGTTAATACCACCTCCTCCAACGCCAACCCCTGCCATTTTCTTTTTAAGAATTATTGGGCCTATATGGATGACATTTGGGATAAAGTTCTCAATGCTTTCTCTAGGCCATTCACTGCCTCCCCTATTGCATCCTCCTTTCACTACCTTCAAAACCTCAAAAGAAATTTGAAAGAAAAAGCTTGGGCTTCCTCCAACTTCCTTTCTAACTCTATCCTGGAATTAAAATACAGACATCATCAATGCATTGTTGACCTCCAGAATAATCCACCAAATCTCCATTTAAATGCAACCTTTAAGCTGGTTAATGATCAATTAGCCAATATGCAAGCTTCTTAGACATCCTGAATCTCTCAAAGAGCCAACGCCAAATGACTTTCTAATGGAGAAGATGACCTCGGTTTCCTTTATGCTATAATACATGCCATGAGGAATAAAAACATTTTAAGAGAGATTAATACCCCTCTTGGTCACTTCACTTCCCCTCCATACATTGTGACTGCCATTATTCAACATTTTAAGGGACTTTATGATGCTCCACCTAATGCAATTGATTTGTGCATCCCTTCGGGTGGCATTGTTCCTTCGCCTTTAGCTAACTCTTTGGTTGCTCCCTTCTCTTATGAGGAAATCAAGGCAGTTGTTTTTTAGGGGCAGCATGATTCAACCGCTGGTCCACACAATTTTCTGTGCTAAACTAGACATAATGAAAGCTTTCGAAACAGTCTCTCATGACTTCTTGCTCAACAGGATGCATCAACAAGGTTTCCCTGAAAGTTTATCAAATGGGTTAACGACTGCATTTCCAACGTCTACTTTTTAATTTGCCTCAATGGCTCTCTTGAGGGTTTCATCCATTCGCTATCCCCTTTGTTCTTTTGTATTGTGATGGACGGCCTCTCATGTTGCCTGCATCGCCTGAACCCTGCTCCCCCTTTCTCTGGTTTAAATCTAAATGGGATCTTTTTTAATCATTTGCTTGGCGCAGATGACCTCCTAGTTTTTGGTTCTTCCACTCCCCATAATGCTTTGCCTTAATGGCTCTCTTGAGGGTTTCATCCAGTCGCTATCCCCTTTGTTCTTTTGTATTGTGATGGACAGCCTCTCATGTTACCTGCATCGCCTGAACCCTGCTCCCCCTTTCTCTGGTTTAAATCTAAATGGGATCTTTTTTAATCATTTGCTTGGCGCGGAGGACCTCCTAGTTTTTGGTTCTTCCACTCCCCATAATGCAGCTAGCTTACTTGCAACTTTACAACACTTTTCTACTACCTCTAGTCTCCATATTAACCCCTTTAAGGGCTCTATTATTTTCTCAAAACATACAAATGCTTCTTCTGTTATTTGTAATATTCTGGGAATCTCTCATGTTGACTCTTCTCTAAAATATTTGGGCCTCCCCATATCCCCCACAAGGCTTCTTTCTTCTCACTTCCAATCACTATTGAGTAAGATTTTCACTCTATTTGATGGTTGGAAAGCAAAGTTTGTCTCTTTTGCAGGTAGAGTTCAATTTATGAAGTTTACCATTTCAAACACTATTGCTTACAGGATTAAAGGATCCATCATACCAAAAGCTTGTCGCATGACAATTTCTAAACAATGTTCTAGGTTTCTATTTCATGACAATATTAATCTGAGAAAGCTTCACTTAATCGCTTGGCATTCCAAGACTTCCAAAACGTCTTGAGGGTCTGGGTATCCCCTCTATTGAGGCAATTTATCATGCCTCTTCCTGCTCTTTTATTTGGCGGTTCTATAATAGCTATTCTCCTGTGAGCTCTTAGCTGAAAGTCAAATAAGCCTCCCCATGGAAACCTCCTCCTGCTATTGCTTCCAAAATGTGGAAAGCTCATCTGTCATACGGCTCAGTACATATGAAACTCGATTTCTCTTTGAGTTTCTCCGTTCAGTAACCTCTCAATGGCATGGGACTCGTGGTGTAAGGGTAAACTGTCAGTAGATTCTATGTCTCCTTCTATCATTGAGTTTCCTTATGTCAATTGTTATATTACCAACAAACAATGGGTGCACCCTGTCTCTTTCCCAGAGCATAGTCGCACGACTGTTCTTGAAACCCCCATTACTAAGCAATCGATTCTAACCTGGGACGGCTCACTTCAACCTTCATTTAAGAACTACATGGTTCAGTTTTACCACAATTTTGAAGAGGTTAGCTGGTTCAAATTTATCTGGTACAAATACCACGCTCTCAGATACTCTTGCTATACTTGGATGACGATTATTGAAAAGTTAAATGCGCTGATCTTCTTATTAAGGGATCAATCTCTATTCCCCCTTGCCCCTTCTGTCAAGCAGCTCCAGAAATTCATAGATACTTATTTTTTAAATGTGACTTCTTCTTTCTAGTGATCACCTCTATTCTGCCTGCTATGGATTGCTTCTATTTGAGGCCGACCTTACTTCAAACATTTGAATTTTTGGATGGTTTACATCAGCTGAGCCCTTTATCATCTGTGAAAGGAAAGAAACAAGCGGCGTTTCTCTGATTTCTGGAACAGCCCTAACACGCTGCTAGTGGTAATTAAGAATGATATTTATCACAAAGCTAAAAGGTGTAAATGTTTTGATAAGCTCAAGGAGAGATTTTCTGTTCTTAGCTGATTCTTTCCTGCTAATCAGTAGTTCTTTCTAAGTTTTTCGTAAGTTTTGCAAGATTGGGCCATAATGAGTATGGCCAACTGTTTCATCAATTTCTTTTGGAGTGGCTTCCAGATTAAGTTTGGTTTGCTTCTCTTTTCTAAACTTCTATGATGATTATATAAAACTATGGTAAATGACCAATCTCACCAGAATGAAGGAAACTCCCACATTGCTGATGTCTCCATCTGCATCGTTGTACAGCAATGGTTCTTTCTGCTTCAAAATGTTTATTATATCATAATCAACAGTAACAATTCTGACCTATCAGTAAGCCTCTGCTGAGACGAACCTGGTTATAATGATATGGGACACAAAAGCCATGCACAAAGAAGAGCTCTACTAATCACACTCAAACACATTCAATTATTGTAACACAGTAGATTCATAGCTTCAGTAATACTTATTAAACATCATAGAGCTAAAGTCTGAAGGATAAATTCTAGAAACTTTACATCTACCATTATTAGGGCACAAAGTGCTTGCAGATCACCTGAAACTTCTTTCTTCAAGCACCATCATCCTCGACATTGTTGACCCGTTCGCATTCATCGATCCATTCGCTATATCTGCAGCACGATACACAAGTTCAATTAAAAACAATGCAATTCATGGCGCGAGCAACCATCGACAAAATAGAGGAATACGGAACTCACATGTCTATAGGTTCAGTTAGCGCTGCAAAGAAAAAAAAAACTAAAAGGTTAGTCTGTGAATGAAGAAACTTGCGAGACAACTAAAAAGAGCTATCTATCATATTGACCTTTATGAAATTATTCAAAAGTTGCTGACAAACAATTTAATGACAGATATAAACAGTACACATCCATGAATATACAATACATAAACCACACAAACTTAAGATAAATAAATGATTTGTAAGCCAAATTTGAAACAAACCAACTCAGCTTACCAGCAAGATTATTTTTAAAAAAAAAATGTTAATATACAATATACTTAAATATAAATTAGAGTTCAAAAGTTTAAATACTAAATAGTTAAAAATATTTAAAAATTCCCACTTATCTCAACTAATTTCTTATTAATTCTCCCACAATTTTAATTTTTTTAATATTAATTGATGTCATTTTCTTCTCTCCTTACAAATCAAGCTAATTAAAACTTAGTATAGTAAAGAGATTTGTCTATAGATCCATTTCATATCAAATAAGTTTCAAAAAATTTGCTATTTTATATCATTTATTCATATTTAAATACTTTTAATATTTTTTACATGATTCAATTCAATGTCGATTGAACTTTTGAACATTAAACCATATTCGATCCATTTGAAAAACTCAATAACAACTATCTGAATTGAGACCATCTTCTCTCTTTCATAATATAGAAGCCGGTTTGTGAATCAATTCAAAACTTATAGAACTGAACCCTATATAGAGCTCAAACACAATTTAGGAGTGGTTCGAGTTCAACCCAAATAGCTTACACTCCTAATTAGAAAATACGCCGGCACTTCAATCAACGTATCAGTTTGTCCAAGTCCTGCTTTCTATATACTAATTTTTTGTTATTCCTCGATAAAGAGAAAAAGAGAGTATAAAAAAGTAGCAAGCTTCAAAACCAAGTGTCAAAATTCTGAAGGTACTCGCACTTTACCGGTGATTGTCATACTGAAATTCTCTTGGCAAATCCTGCATGAGGCTTCACCAATCAAATTCTTTATATCACTGCAAAACAGAGCGTTCAAACAGATGAGACAATCTACAACAGAAATAGGAAAGCTGGAAAAAAAAAATAGTAGTCTAGATTACAGTTATTACTAGTAAGTATACTTCTTCAACAAGTCCAAATAAAACCTCCAAAATAAGTATAAGGGAAGGATAGATTCCATACATGCGACACTCAACACTGCTTCCATGGTTGCAGAATGGGCAGCAAAAAACAGTATCAAGCTTGTCCATCCTCTTCTTGGGAGGCGGCTTTGCCCTTGACTTCCTTTTCCCCATGAAGCAACAACCAACTTTTTAATCACTAGATTGCCACTGAAAATGATTAACCCAACAAATTTAAAATCAATCAATCGAAAATAACTTCAAAAACTTGTATGAGTAAATGTAAGCTCCTCAACTCTGGAAGTAATCTTGGCAACTTTTTTCTACGTTTGGTTTTTAGGCTGAAGAAATTATGCGAAAAAAGGAACCAAAATCATATTGCATACATGAACATTCAGCTAAATATTCTAAAACTAATTTCTATGGATCTCCAACATTCATTCTTACATGACCAATATCTTCAACTCCCAAATCATGTGGTTTGACATGACCCGATTATATACTAGCACAAATTCATCAAACAATTTCACAAAATATAATAAGTTGGTATTCTCAAGACGATAAAATTGGCTTACTATATGCTTACGTACTCAAATAACTCATAAGGAAAAAAAAATTATTCTTTTCTAATTAGGATCAGTAACAGAAGAGCAGGTAATTGAAAAGCAAATTCATTTATACAAGGCCTCTCAGATAGCATCTAAATTAATAGAATGCAAGTGACAATAAGATCAACGAGCACAAAAACCACAAGATGCCTACTGCTATACTCATCTTTAGTGCACAGAACATTATAAACCAAAATTTATTATAATGGGCTTCGTACTGTCACCAAGGATACAGTAAATAAATATAGCACGGAGAAAGGCATCCCAATTCATGAAGCTACTACCATGTTAAACGAACAACAAACTAAACAATCAAATAAACTAGATGGAAAAAAAAATGTGGGCAATAACAAAGTCATGCATTGAACAAAAATATCAGTATTAGAAGTATATCATCATCATCACCATCACCTGAAAATCTATGAACTTATAGAGTGAGAATGTGAGATGATCTTTTCCTCACAGCCTTAGACTTTTCATCACACAATAAAAGAGGCGAACGATTTCTTTATGTAGAACCAAAAATTGAGCGAGAAGACTCAACGAGGCCTACTAGTTGATGAATTTTTTACCATGTAGAAGTTGGGAACAAGATTTCATTCTGAACGTTGACAATATAAAGTTATCGAAATTGGGAACAAGATTTCATTTTGATCAATCGCTATACAAAGTTATCGAAACTGGGAACATGATTTTATTCTGATCAATCACTATATGTTAACAATACAAAGTTATCTACTGATGTAGAGGAGACCGACAAAGAATCCAACCTATATGGCTACTATAATACTATTAAGCCCATCAGAATTGATGCTATGTGAGGGAGCAATCAATAGCCTGGGCATGCACAAAAAAGAGTACATTGATCGATATTTGCCAGTGCAGTGACGCAAGACTGCTTAAAAAAGAGCTCTCCAAGATCGTTTTTAGGTATCATATTGAATCAAAGCTCACAACCCCAAAATTGATAATAAAGGGGGCCTCCATTCTCCAAATTCATAAGAATAACTTTCTTCATGTTATAAACTATCCTCTGTAACTCCCACTTCCCTAATTTATTGATGGAAGAAATATCAGAAATGGAATTTTAGATGGACCATATCCATTTTTTTTAATTTTAGAACCATCACAAAATGGAATTTTAGATGTTATTTAAATGAGTTATTTAATATAAATTATAAATATAAGTCTTGTTTAAATATAAACTTATTTTTGAAAGGTCATAATGAGATTCATAAAGAAATAATTTTGATAGTGTACTGTATGTAAAAAAATTGGTATAATACTTTTTAAGTTTGAAATTCGAGTGTTTTTTTCATCATCACCATTAACATTATCCAAACAATTTGTGGTTGATATAATGATTACTCATTCAATTTGCTCCTATTGAGTATTATCTAAGGTTTTAAACCTATTCCTCTCAAATCATGTTGAACAAACCTTAGGTCCTCCACTTTTCCTTTTTAATCTTTTGATGTTAATTGCATCAAATCATAGAACGGATCAATTTTCTATCATTCATTATACATGACCAAACCACTTAAGTCTATCTTCAATTAACTTGTTTTTAATAGATGTTACTCCAATATTTCATCACCTTCCAAATAGATCCATATAAATTACTGGTCTAATTGCAATTTTACAAAATCTACCTTCAAACCTTGATGATTTACACTTATCACATAAGAATCCTGAGAAAGTTCTTCCTTTAAACCATCCAACCTCAATGTCTAAAAATTATATCATCATATATATCTTAATTTTTTTTAATAAATCCAAGACATTTGAAACTATCACACCTATATATCACCCTATCTTCTAGCATCCCCTTCTACAATTTTATTTTCCTCCACCACAGCATCATTTTCAATCAATCCAACATTTGCCTCTACACTACCAAATGACACTTCATCAACTGTCTCCAAAATTATTTGCTCACTAATATTATCTTCGACAATTCGTTCGGGTGACATTCTAGAGTAGATAGAACAAATAATATGTTTTTAGAATAATAGGATTAAATGAAAACACATATAAGTTAAGTCAAACATTGACTTAACAATAATTCTAAAATGAGAAAGATAATGAATAACATATATAGGTTAATTCAAACAAAACTTATATGCAAAACTTCGATACAAAACATAAGTTGAAAAACTTCTCTCCCAAATGAAACCTAAATCAAGACATCCTAAAATAGACAGGATTACATAAAAAATGAAATTGCATAACTCAGAAATAAGTAAACCAATGCATAAAAATAAAATAAAATGAAATAAATCATTTAACAAAAAACAAGAGATGTAAAAAATAAAGCATAAAACATATAAACAGATCTGAGTTCTACTAAATCATAAGTTAATAGATACACAATCTTCACATTAAAAGTACAAATTGCAGTAACTAAAAATATGACACAAGTTCAGTGGATACCTTATCTTTTGAACTTGAATATGAACCTTTAAGATCACTTATCGTAAACAAATATGAAGAAAGAAAAAAAAAAACTGAATAAAGATCAACTAAAGTTACTAACCCGAGATAAACAGATCTGGACAAAGAAAAAAAACTGAAAAAAGAAATAGCTAAACCAGGATTAACAGATCTGAAGATAGAAAAAAAACATAACAAAAAAACTGAATAAAATCGCTACCTCTTACTTTCAAGATCAGTTCTCTTAAACAGACGTTATAGATCTGAAGAAAGATTTAAAAAAATCTGAATAAAGAGTCACCAAACATGAAGAACGGAAGAAAGAAAGAAAAAATAAAAAATTTTGAATATAAATAAGAGCATACAACAGAATTAAAAAATCCCGACTGCCAAACGACCGGAGCACCAAGCTAGCTACCGACTACCGTCACGAGACTTAAGTAGGACTTAAGTAGGATTTAACCTAATTGACCGATTCTTCTTTCACTACAAAAGTTTTAGGGGGTGTTTGGTATCGGATTTGTCTTCAGTTTTAAGTAGGATTTAACCTAAATCCAGCCAAACACCTTCTCGCGTGCATCTAAATCCGGCGACTCCCTAAATCCGGGATTTACAGTTTTACGGCATAAATCCGGTAAATCCGGGTAAATCCTAATCCCATCCTTTCCCGGATTTAACAAGATTGACCGGATTTGGCCAGAGAAGAGCACGAAAGGAGAAATTTACCTTCAAAGCCAACGTGCTCCCGTTGTTGAATCGGATCAAAATGTCGTAACTTTCGATCCGACAGGAAGGGAAAGTCGACGAAGGAGCGAAGTCGAACAGCCACGAAGGACGAAGGACGAAGGAGCCGAAGAAGCGACCCGTGCAATCTCTACACCTCTTGCGAAGCAACGAAGCCGAACAACAGCTACAAAACGAGAAGATAAAAGGGAAACCCGACACGCCTCTTAAGTTATCACTGCTTAACTTAATTAATATAAGTTAAAATAATAATAATTGAGAAAATTAATAGTATAATTAGTGCATAAAATATTTATCTAATTTAATTTAATTGAAATTTTTAATTGATATATTAGTTAATTAAATATAATAAACATAGCTTAATTAATATATAATTAGCTTTATATTAAAAAATATATTATTAAATATATAATTAATCAAGATTGTGAAATCGGACGACAATGAATCAAGGAAGAGGTTATAGTTTGATCAGTTCGACTGGTCGAACCGGGGTTGAACGGGAGTTATGAATCGGATGACGAAATAATATTATTATTAATTAAAAATATAAATAATCATATATAATATAAGTTATATGAGCATTTAATAATATTTATAATTATTTTAAATATATAATAAAATTTAATACATATAGAATTATATATTAAGATAATATATTTATAAGGAATACTTAATAATAATATATAAATTTATAATATAAAATTTAATGATCATTAATAATATATATAATAATTTAATAATGACCATTAAATAATGATTAATACATAACAATTATAATTAATATCATTTAAAAATTATATATATTATATAATTTATTTATAATTAAAATATATTTATAAGAATAATATTTAATATAATATATAAATTTATAATATAAATATTTTATTTATATAATTATTATTAATATTATATTATAGCAAAATTTTAATTACATATTATCCAAATTTATAGCCCAACCTAACGCAAAAAAATGAAGGTCTGCTAGCTAAATAAACCCAAATTCAAATTCTTAAAACTATCATGCAAGTAGTTCCAATCATTTAGGGGGAGTTCCGAGAATATTTCCTTGAACCCTTTATAAAGTGAGAAGTACACTCTTTTTGCAAAATAAATTATGTGAGATATTTAAAATACTTGTATGTATTATGGTGCTGGGAAATTAATCATTATATTTAATAAAAAAATTTATAAAAGTTTAAGAAAATTTAATAAACTAAAACATATTTTTAGAATTTTAATTAAAAAATAAATAAATTTTTATAAACCGTCGGTTCAATCCGGTTTGATCCGGTCTGATGTAGAGCCGGTTCTGAAGCTGGATCGAACCGGCCACCAGATCGGTTACGGTTGAACCGATCGATTCGGTCCGGTTTTCATAACAGTGTAATTAATAGTGTAATTAAAATTAATGAGTAATTTGAACTTAATAATTTTGATAATCATACAATTTAAATTTTTAACTTCCATAAATCCTGAAATATATTGCCAAACATCTTCTCATGATTTAACATTTATCATACCAAACACATTTCAGGATTTATCAGCATAAAATTTACTAAATCCGGATTTAAAGTTTATTTCCCTATTTTCGGTTTGGCTTATCCACTCGATTCGCTTTCGCACTTCCTTCGGTTTCGCTATTCGCACTGCCGCGATTACTGTTATTTGAGCCGCTCGTCGAACAATCGAGTCGAGCGGACTCAGTATTGAATTCGAGCTCGATAATTAACCGAGTTCGAAATTTTGTTCGAACTCGAGCTCGATACTTGATACTTGATAAGCTCGACTTGCAAGCTTATTGACAAGTCAAGTTCAATCCAGCTCAACTGCTTGGTTCATTTGCACCCACCCCTTTGCTAAGAAATTAAGCATTCCAAACCAAAATATTTTATATCTACCTTTTTCTTTAAGTCAAATAAAAGTCTAGGACTTTTATTTTCCGTATATGTTATAAGTTATGTTAATATATATTTATCCAATTTATTTTGATTTATAAAAACCTATTATTCTAAACGTTAAATTAATTTCAAATAATTTGGTAACTTTTTGGAGTTGAATGATCAAAAATAAAAATCTCCCATGATTTTGGAGCTTACTAGAGATTTATTAAATAATTGTTTTATAATAGAAAAATAAAGTGATCACCATTTTTGTTGGCCTTGTGGAGGGTTGGGTCAGCTCAAGGTGATTAGATGGACTCATATTAACCAAATTCGCATCCATGGTGCATCCTCTTCTAGAAGACCTTACTATTTAATGAGGAAATGCTTGATGGTGTGTGATAGACTGGTCCAGGATGGACCGGTCTAGCCGGTCCAGCACACGGGATTGGCTCGTGTACATATAAGGCGAAATGACGAGTTCCGTCCAAGGGGGCTACCGCCCTCTCTCTAGATAAGGTCCACCATGAATTAGAGGAGGATTTGAGTGATTATTAGGACGTAAAATTGAAATGAGGAGCTTTGAAGGACGCAGAATGCAATTCGCCGTCTGGATACCAACCAGAATGCACACCGTCAGCAATATCGAGCACGGTACCGAGCGCGGTACCGAACAGGGTGTCGTGACACATTTTAATTGGTTTTTAGATGATGTTCGACGTCCGCACAGAATAATTTGCCCTTTGAAGGACTACTAAAATGAGCTCATAAAAACCCATTTCTGATTAGAAATGATCATTTTAGGGATGAAGCAGAGTTTGCAAACTTCAACAACGAAAGCTAAGGCCGCATATGATGCAATAAATTGGGGTGGCAAGGAAATAAAATGGGCTACTTTGTTAGTCTACAACAACCACCATTACTGTACCTTTACAAATTGAAAGAGGAAAGCAGATGAGTAAATCCATGCTTAAATCTTCCTATGCAACATTTTGGTTAATTTTTTTTTTTAATAATTTATTAACGATAAATTTTGAATAATTTGATAAAAAAATAAAAATATATATATATACTTACAAATAAAAAAAATTTAACAAAAAATATTAAATAGATTATTTTTAGGTCAAAAGCGGGGTTCACAGTTCAACCCGAATGTAACCCATTTATTAAACGGGTCAACTCAAACTCAAACTTTTAGAGTCACTCATTTATTAACATTGGCTTCAACCACATAAGCGGCATCAACAAGAGCACCAAGAATGATAGAATGTCTGTATAATTAACTTAAATATATTTTTATAATTTCGCTAATTGTTGTAATTTTTAAAAATAAACGGGTTTTCGGGTTGACCCGGCAACCCACCGGGTCAACCCGAACCCGACCCATTTTTTCAAACAGGTCGAATTTGCGAACCCGACCCGTTTTTCAAACAGTTCGGATCCAACCCAGATTTTCCATTTCAGGTTTTCGTGTCGTGTCAAATATTGACACCCCTAATTTAAATCTAATAAAGAAATGTCATTTATAACATTTCTAACCAAGTCTTTTTAGGTCTACCTTTACTTTTCTTAATATAGGCCAAATCTAATACATCTAATCTCATAACAGGGTCATCGGAAGGCCATCGTTCTATATGACCAAACCATCTAAGGCGACCCTCTCTAATCTTATCTGTCACTGGAGCTACTCCAACCTTTTCACGAATATACTCGTTATGTATCCTATTTCTAAGAGTAAATCCACTGATGTAGAACTATATGATTTAAAATGATGAAATAAGAATTTGCACGAGTTCTTGAATTAAGCACGTAAGGCTACCACTATTAGCAATCAAATCGACAATATAAAATAAAAGAGGGGTGCCTACGTTTAGGCTAAGCCACATGCCAAGCACTTGGAGAATCAAAACAAGTTAGGAATTCAATAACATTCAAGGTAAATAGCCTTCAATAGAAATCCCTAATTTAACAATAAGATTAGAATCAAATAAAAGTGCACTCAATCCTACGTTTACTAAGCTTTGGCAATGGCGAGATAAAATCCTACGTTTACTAAGCTTAGGCAAAGGTGAAGCTCGGTTCCTTGTGAATCTCCATAACCTACACGATTAGGGGGATTAGAAAAGTAAATAAAAAGGGGAAAAAGTTCACCCTTATCAAAATCCGAAAACAAGTAGGCGAGGTGTTGAGAAGTTTGTCGTAGCTCCTCGTGAAGGTTCAACTGGAGGAGAAGAAGTCTCTCACAAGCGTCGAAGTATGGAATGTAATGATCCTTTGCTCACCTGAAAAAAATCCTTTTGAGAGAAAGGCATTTCCCTCAATAATTCAAGTAGTAGAAGGGCGTAGTCTATGTCTGGATCAGCCATCCATAGATGTTTTGCTGCTTTTGGGTTGGGGAGGCACCAAACAATAATGGAAGTCTTCTCCAACAAAGAGACAGCAGCTTGGGCTGAAGGAAATTAGTGGACAACAATTCAGTCTTGGGAGGAAGATGGCTCAATATTGTAAGGAGTTTGGAGAGGTTCTAGTGGAGGAATTTCCACGTTAGGGCCTTGGGAGATTTCGACCAACAGAGGAATAGGGGAGAGATTTAATTCCCAAAATAAAATAATGAGTTTTGGAAAGATTTAAGAGGAGAATACATCAAGGGGAATTTCAGCCAGGTTCAGATGATGGGTCTTGAATACTTTCCAAGTGAGGATAGGGGATTAGGAAATAAATCCTTAGGATTTATTATAAGTGGAGCCGACGAATTGATGATGAGGGAGGAGATTGGGGAGACATTTAATGATTACTTAAATTAAGAAATTAAATTTGGAATGAATGATTTCATCCAATTTAATTTGTAATTTAAATAGGCTATGAAATAATTAGTTACCAAAAATAAGATTATAATTTAGGTAACTATTTTAAATTCAAATAGTATGAATAGAGTTACCTAAAATATAAAAGACTATTTTATGAAAGGTTTAATGGTGAGTTGGTGATGGAGGGAAAGACCAAGAGAAGGGAAAATTTGAAAACTTTCCTAAAATAGATTTTATAATTTAGGAAATAATTTGAATTTCAAATTCTGAGAAATTCGAATTCAAAGACCAACTAAATTATGACAATCCAAAATTAGGAAGTATCCAAAGTAGGCAATGGGGGATGAGAGAGGGCTAGGCCGGCGATTTGAATGGGGGCAGGTAAGGGGCCGGCGGTAGGGCTGTCAAAACTGGGCCACGGGTCGGGTTCGGGTCCAACCCGAAATTGACCCGACACTGTTCAACCCGACCCGAACCCAACCCGTTTTTGCAAACGAGTCAGTTTTCCGAACCCGAACCGATCCGCTTCGGGTCCGGGTCAACCCGAACCCAACCCGATTCAGATATTTTTTATTAAATTTTTTTATTTAATTCAATTTATTTAAATCTAAATCAAATTAGGATAATATTTACTTCAATTAATTTAAAATAAATCAAGATTAATTTAATTTGGGCAATAATGTTTATAATTTTTTTTGAAATATCATTTACTTATTTCATAAAAATCCATTAAAACCCTCCTAAATTAAGTAAAAACGGGTCAAACTGGATTGATTTCGGGTTTCTGGGTCAACCCGAACCCGACCCGGTTTTGCAACGGGTGAAATCCCTAACCCGAACCCAAAATTTTCGGATCGGATTCGGGTTCGAGTCGGGTCAAATATTGACACCCCTAGCCGGCGGCAAGGTGGAGATGTAGGCGGTGTTTTGGTGGGTGGAAGGAAACGACGAGGGAGAAGTAACATCGTGAAGAAAAGGTGGGTGATAGGATTAAGGGAAATCAAAGATATGAAATCACAAACCCGTCCGTCTCTAAGGTTGGTGGGTGATGCGCCAATCTCTCTCTCCAAGAAATCTCTCTCCGATCTCTCAAGCTTTCTCAAGAACTCCAAGCAAGAAGACAAAATTCTCAAATAATCATTCATTAACTCTGGAAGAGCAACATGAGGGCTATAAATAGCCTCTTACAAAATGACTCAAAATAAGAAAATGTCAATGCCCTTAGGGCTTATATACAACCTCCCTTAAGTAAGGGGTAAAATGGGAAAACAATTAAAACATAAATAATAAAAGACAAATAACATAACAAACGACAAATACATGAAAATGGCTCAAAACTACAACGACTCAATCGTGGCCGTAGATCGACGGCTATGCCTCTGACATACGATTCATGCTCTGATGTCCTCATCATCCACTCATCCACCTGAGCATCCTCATCTCAGCAACACTTAACTTAAGGTTCGAAATGCATTACAAATAATAATTTCAAAATCAGAATATGAAGTTCTAGCTGATAGCTAAGATAAGTACAGTATTTGCAGCAGGCAAACGCAATATGTAACTATATTGATGAATGATTCATATATATAAAAGCTAATAAAGATTTTTTTTTTAATATTATTTTTCATAGTGGAAGTTTGCAGCAAAACTGGAACATCAACAAAATCATATAGATTACATCATATAAACTGGTGTATACTTTCTAATTAGCCTACTTTGCCTTTGAAAATTGGAGACTTTCTTTGAGGACTGACTTTTCTGTGCTTCAGTGCTGATCTTACAAGATTTGTGGTTAATAATTTCTCTGTATCAATCAATGTGTCTTCAACATTTTTAGATTTTAGGAACTAAGATTTGCAGAAAACCATCCCTGCATATAAGATGACAGAGCACAAAAATCAGTATTAAGCCATCTCTCAATCTGATAATAATAGATGACTTCAAGGCTTTTAGCTGGCTGTAGAGTACGAGAGTATAGTCAAAATCCAATGCTAACATAATGAACAATGAATTATAGACATAAAAAGAGTAAATTTGCAGATAATTTAACAGATTACATATGGTTCAAACAATTATTACTAGGGGCAACTTTCCATCTCCAATATGCATCTAAGGAAACATTATGAAAAGATGGGAGAATGAGACAAAACGAAAATGCAATATCAAAATCATATACATAAGGTAGATTCTATGATAAACAAAAATATATCAGTCTAATGCATTAGGAACTATGTTGCACCGATACGGATATGGTGACACGGATATGACACGATACGGATACGAGACACGTTAATTCTTAAAAATACAGGATACGGGTACGGCGCAGACACGACATTATAATTTATATCATATATAAAAATTAAGAAAACAATAAAAGTATAATATTTGAAATGACAAAAAAATTTAATGCAACATCATTTATAGCCTTGTAGCTTATAATATCAAAATAAAAGTAAGAATTAAATGTCTAGTACAACAACAAAAACATAAACATAAATTGCCTAGCACATGAAGTTCCAACTATTCAATAGAAGGAATGATAGGCTTAGCTTCTTCAGTGGTTTGTCTTTGAACTTCTATTGAACATAAATCCAAGATGCACACTCATGATCGTGGGTTCAAAAGTGAGAGAAACTTGCTCGCAACCGCGGAAGTAAATGCGAAATACGCGTCATTTTTTCCCCTTTTTTTTGTTTTTCAAGGGACACGCTTATCCAATACATGTGCCTTCTTGAAATTAAACATTATTTTAATTGGATACTGGCTTTGGTGTATCCGACACGTATCGGTACTGTATTGGACGCGTCTCCGTGTTGGACACATCCGATATAGCACGCCTTCATAAATAGGAATATCGGTGCAACATAGTGAAAGTATTCTTACCATGTATGATGCAATTGATAGGTTTTATGTATGATGCAATTGATATCAATACTACCTAGCAGCTTTCAATATATGATAACCATATGATAGTCTTAGCAAGAAAGTATTCTTACCATGATTTCCAGAAAAGTTTTCTGAATAATTATCTTACTTCGTCGACTCTGGTTTATTATTACTCACTTAGAACACTTATCATGTTAACGTAATAATGTAATGAAATATACCAATAGTGAAACAATCAGTCAGTCAAGATTAGAATAAGAATACACCAGCAGAGCACCTACACAAATTCAGCAGAAATGCGATCCCTATTGACGTCCTTTGGGAGAGGCCAAATGACTTCATAAGGGCCCTGTAATATCTCTTTCCGGTGATAGGTTAGGTTTGAATCGCCTGAAGAATTCATAACTCTCCATTGTTGCTGCATTACACGCTTCCCTGTTATAGTAAGTCTATAATCATAAAAAGAATTATCAGTTCAAAGTACTTTGACTTCACTTGGAATATATTACAGGTGAAATGAAGTAAAATCATATTAGATAAGTTGATCTAAATGAAATCCAACAAAGCAATATAAAAGCAATATAGCAGATCCAAAATATAAACTGGTCAGAATTTTTATGCAATCATATAACTACTATCAAGGGAGAAAAAAAAATCAAACTTGGGCACGGGCACTAAACATTTTTTGCTTTACATAAATAAAAATGTCCATTGGCAAACATATATCTTAATGAGGACTCGAAACAACATAGGGTTGCCAGTATCAAGCACAATTCATGTATGCCATGTTAAAAAACTAAAGTTCACAAATCAACAAAGAATTAAGGCTACCATATTAGTGACTCAAGAATAAGACTTTTTATTCTGTGTGGATATCAGACGGAAAGAACCATCCAATTTTCTCTCTGTCTATAATAAAAGCGAAGTCAAAACGCAGCTGCTACAGTAACTATTCACTGTAGACAGAGAGAAAATCGCACGGTTCTCTCCGTCCGGCATCCGCACCGAATAATCTCTCCAAGAATAATGATTTTCGGATCCAGCCTAAATGAAATTATTGAAAATTGATAATGTCATAATAAGAAATTTTCAACTAAATTCTTACAAAAGCAATTTATAAATTGAGCTTTAGCCAACTGCAAGATATACAGATTCAAAAAACACAAGGTAAAATCAAAGTTGTGATAAACACAAATTCATCAGAAATTAGGAAATTGCAGATTACACACAACTAAATAATATTTAGTTTAGGGTTTAGGGTCCTCATTAAGTAGAAAGTATCCTAATAAAAAATAAACTCCTACAGTAGATAAGAGAAAGTTCATACTTATGATTATCAACCTCCACTCTTATTCCATTGATGTTGACGCCAGGAAGTTCTGCAATAATAACATAACTAGAGCTAGATTCTGCAACATCAATTCGAGGTGACCATACCAGCCCTGTATCCACTGATTTGCATCTAGTTAATCCACAAAGCAAATATGAAAAAAAGGATCTTTCATTGAAGTTTTCTTAATAAACTAAACTGATTTTACCATCAACAAAAGCAGCTTTATTTTAATCAAGCTGCCTGTAGGATTAACTCATAAAGCTTGAACAATTAAGTACAGAATCAAGGAATAAGCAACCGTCTTTCCAGAATGTATACCATCAGATATAGACGGGCGTGATGTCTTACTGTAGACCAGTTCCTCTTCCAATTTCCCTCTATTTGTTCCAGAAAATTTAAGAGCTTCAATAGAAGATGAAGTAGAATCTTGCTTCAATAAATGAACATTTCCTGAATCGGGGATGTTAGTATTCTCCCAAGCCCTTCTACAGAATAGAGGTTCTTCCTGATTCTGATAAGAAGAAATCCAAATCTTAGCACTGGAAAATTTAGAAGGCAAATTCTGCAATGAAGAATGAGAACCATGGCTCTGACGACAAATTCATTAAAAAAAATGAATCAGACAAGACAAAAGGCGCAAAAAAAAGGCTTTTCAACAACCTCTTTGACTGATGCATGCTGCATATAACCAGCTTGTGAAACTGAGTCTTCAGGGGTAATGATGGTTCTATCAGTGTATCTCCGAGCCATGGAGTTCAGAGTGCTGCTGCAGTTCTGAGGTGACCAGAAAAATAAAATAAGCAATAAGTTTATGCAAGAAGAAATACATGTTAGAATAATTAAATATAATAATTATGTGAGACGTCGCAATAATTATTTAAATATATATATTTAGTTATATAAACCATTAAGTGGTCCATATATTTAAACAATTGAAATTTAATTATTTATATTTAAATTCTATTGGTCAAGAAGAGATAATTTGATCAATCATTTATGAATCGTTTGATCAAATAACTCCTATGAGCGATTTATAACTAATCCGTAGGAAATAACTACCGGTCATCTCTCTCTCATTATAGGAGTTAGTTTGTTACATAGAGAATTAACTTATGAAAGAAAAAAAAAATGAAAGGAAAAAGGGAGATAAACCATAGTTTGGAATTCAACGAATTCAACATGAATCAATGTATATTTTCTTCCGATTAAAACATTGTGAAAATAATCTTGTTTAAGATCTTGTTGATTTAAGACTTTATGTAAATTCATGTTTCATTTCAATTTCTTTTACATAATTTATGATGTGAGTTCTTGCAAGAGTTTGAGAACTTATTTGCATGCTGCGAGCTCTTAGTTAGAGAATTGATTTTTACATGTTGTGAGTTCTTACAATAGTTTAAAAATTTGAATCTTACAATACATCCTAGTGTCCAATGTTTCAATGAAAATCCACAGAGATGCAATCTCAGTCAACATATCAAACCTTCTGGCTTGATCAACAAAACTCTAGCTCAATACGGACAAAAATTGCAACTTTTTAGTGGAATTTAAGCAGGCAGTTGAATTGTAAGAGCAACAGGGTGAAATTGGGAGAGGTGCAACAATTATTAAATTACTAGAAATTCATCTAGGGTTAGGGTTAGGGTTAACCATGGCTGTGAGGTGAGAGCTCGGTGAGGGAACGCCTTCGCATCCCGACACATGATCGAGGATTCTTCCAATCCTCTTCGCCGCGATCGCATACTCCATTTCTGGCGAGTTTTTAGGGCTGTTATGTTTCTCTCTCTCTCTCTCTGCTCGGGAGATTTTGGCTTTTAATAACTTCATTAGTTTGATCAAAGTATAAAATTTATTTATGTATAATTTTCAAAAGTTTAATAATTAAAATATTTTGGTTTCAATTAAATACTAATAATTTATCGATAAAAAAATGAGGATATATTTGGACTAATAGTGGATAATCTGAATTAGGGGTGCAATCTAGTTGAGCACGCCCACATGCCTTCGATTCACCTGTGGTTTGCACACACAGACGCCTTCGGTTCACCCACGCTTCGCTTTTCGCCTTCCGCCTTCCACCAGTTCACCTTCCTCGTTTAATCAAGCCGAGCATCTTTTGAATTGAACTCGAGCTCGAAATTCCACTCAAATCGATAAGCTCGATCGCAAGCTCATTAACAAGTCGAACTCGAGTCAGCTCCCAAACTGGCTCGGCTCATTTACACCCATAGTTTGAATTTTATTAGATATTCTATTGCACTTTTTCTATTCTCCTCATCCTCTCTCTATTCTAACGGCAGCTCGTTAGCTCTTCAGGCATTTTTTTTTAATCCTTAGATGGGCCTATCAGCAACCAACCCCACAGGTGCATGAACAATTATTACGTCCGGTGGTCACCACTGAGTTACTCAGTATTTGCTCGGTATTGCTAGGTATTGCTTGGCAATAACAAGAAATACCGCTATGTGAAGACCAATACCGAGCAATACCGAGTAATACGGAGTTTTTCTATAAAAAAAAAACTCGGTATTGCTTTGTATTGCTCGGTATTTGTCTTCACATAATGGTATTTCTCGTTATTGCCGAGCAAAATCGACAAATACATGATTTTGTGCATGCTACGTGGCGCGATCTCAGTGCCGGCCGAATGTAGTTCTACGTCCGGTCACCAGACCAAATAAAAGTTCCAAATTGGTTTTTTGGGTTAGGGTTTTTCTGATATTAGGGTTTAGGCGAGCCAAGTCGAGCTCGATTTTCTGATTTTTTTTGTCATTTCCGACTGGTTTTTCTTCTGTTCACTTACTGCTATATTTCTGTTCAATCGAGCCATGTCGTGCTCTATGTTTTGGTATTTCTGTGCAAATGAGCCAGGTCGAGCTCTATGCTCATTTATTTCTCTCATTCTGTGCTATTTCTGCTGTTATTTCTGTGCAAATGAGCCAGGTCGAGCTCTATGTTCATGTATTTCTCTGTTGTTGAGCATGTTTATGCTGTTATTTCTTTGCAAATGAGCCAGGTCGAGCTCTATGTTCATGTATTTCTGTGCTGTTGAGTCTGTTTCTGCTGTTATTTCTGTGCAGTTTCTACTATTATTTCTGTGCAGTTTTTGCTGTTAATTATGTGAAGCTACTACTATTATTTTTGGGCACTTTCTACTGTTATTTCTGTGTAGTTTCTACTTTTATTTCTGTGCAGTTTCTGCTGTTATTTCTATGCAAAAGAGCCAGGTCGTGCTCTATGTTCTGTGTGCAGTTTCTGCTGTTATTTCTGTGCAGTTTCTGCTGTTATTTCTGTCATGTTACTGCTATTTTTGTGAATTGATGCAAACAAATTGATTTTGATTCTTAAATAAAATTTTTATTTATGCAAATTTCTTTATATAATTTTCTGTGTTTGTGATTTTGAATTTTTTTTTTGAAAATAAATTGGGTTAGCGGGTCATTCCTGGTTGACCCGAACCCGACTCGGGTCGGGTTCGGGTCCTCAATATTGACCCGAATCCATTACCGGGTCGGGTTCGGGTCAACCCGTTTAGCTTCGGGTCGGTTCGGGTTCGACACGAACCCAACCCGTGACCCGGTTTTGACACCCCTACCCACAGGTGCATGAACAATTATTACGTTCGGTGGTCACCACTGAGTTACTCGGTATTTGCTCGGTATTGTTAGGTATTGCTTGGCAATAACGAGAAATACCGCTATGTGAAGACCAATACCGAGCAATACCGAGTAATACGGAGTTTTTCTAAAAAAAAAAAACTCGGTATTGCTCTGTATTGCTCGGTATTTGTCTTCACATAATGGTATTTGTCGTTATTGCCGAGCAAAATCGACAAATACGTGGTTTTGTGCATACTACGTGGCGCGATCTCAGTGCCGGCCGAACGTAGTTCTACGTCCGGTCACCGGACCAAATAAAAGTTCCAGATGCAGGGCCTCACAATTTCTTTCTCCCCCGAAGGAGTCGCGTTGCATGAAAGAGGAATCAAACATTGGTTGAGGGGCTCCCAACTATGCTCGCCCACCTACCCAGCTAAGCCTGATGGGGCTCATCAGGCATACATTCTTAGTAAGGTAGGATGTCATTCATAAACAAATTTGAATCCAACATTAATAATTATTTATTTGATAATAAAATTGTTGGAATTTAATTAAAATATTAGGAGAATAAGATGGATGGTTAGTTATATAAGAAAGCACTTGCTATTAAATATACTCTTAAATTTATAATAATTATAATACATTTTCCATTATTACAACTAATTTTTATTAGCTGAATCTAATATTCAATTTGTTTATTAAAATAAAACATTTCATAATTCTCCAATTTTGAGTATTCTGAACATGGTCGAAAAAGGTTATAATAATTTCAAACTCATGGGCTACTCATTAATAACAAGTTTTTTTTTTTTTTTTATAGCCTTAAAATTTACCATAATTAAATTTAAAATAATGTTATGCTTATGTAATAATTGTTAAATTAAAATATTAGTAATTTTAATTTTAATTTTTTGAATTAAAATTTGAAAGGTAGAGTATCTTTTTTCTACATTTTTCACTCTTCATACAAAAAATTAGATGACTAATATTTAAAATAATTAAAAATTAAAATTTTTAGTAATTTTTATAATGAAAATAATAATAATAAAAGGCATGCCATGATATATGAAGAAATTTTGAGACATTAAAAAGCTATATTTTTTATTAATTTGAAGTTCAAAGAGGCTTCACAGTTTGGTTACAGAGGAATCCTAAATTAGAGAGATTATTTTGTGCGGACGCCGAACACAACTCTAATTTCAGATACCGACCAGAATAAGTCATGTCAACGATAACGAGCTTCAATACCGAGCCTCGGTACCGAGGAATACCGAGCCGCGGGCTTAGGTATCCAGATGGGTTCCGCTTCCGCACAGAATAATTTTCCCCTAAATTGACAATGATAATGCATATATTACATACACATTAATGCTTCGTTTGAGATGGTTTTCTTTCTGCTTCTTAAAGCAGTTTTTGAGTACAAAAATTAATTTTTTTTGTACCAAAAAACTGCTTTAAGAAGCAGAAAGAATGCCATACCAAACGAAGTCTAACATTATTGTTTATTTACCTTCTTTTGCCCCGTTGACATAAGTGTTTGGGACAGCTTTCTTACTGCTTCTTAAGCTGCTTTAACATTTCACTAAGAAAAAAAAAAAACAAATAGAGCATATACAAAATTCTTCAAGTCTCTATAATTCTTCTTCAGTCTTGTTGTTTAGCATAACAGAATAATAAAATTGCTTTGTCTACATCAAAAATTAAGCCACAATACTCCTGGATCATTGAGTCCAAAGAAATTGATCACAAGACTAAGTTGTAAGTAAATATTTTCTTTTTATACACCTTCTACCAATAACAAAAATTAAGGCTGGATTACATTCAAATATCTCCCTGACACTTATAATAATCTTCATGTCCCAAATTCATCATGCAAACTTGTATCCATTAGTAAATTTCTATACTTCGTATCGTAAGTTTTATTTAGAGCCATATCAAGCAGCTTAAGGGTTTGTTTGGGACGGCTTTCTTACTGTTTCTTAAAGCAACTTTCTAGTACAAAAATTTTTTGTACTAGAAAGTTGCTTTAAGTAGTAAGAAAGCCATCCCAAACGAAGCCTAAATTAAGAGAAGAAATTAAGGAATTAATTAAATCCTTCAAGTTGGAGTGATATTGTATTTCCAAATTTGGAGAGATTATGAGGCATTGACAATTATACCTCTTGGATGAATTTTCATGAAAGGAACTTTCTTGTATTTCCTTATATTTTCCTCTGGTTCACACTATATTATTTTTACCATAATATCATTTAATATCATTGTTGCGGCTAGAATATACGCGGTGATAGAGTTAGAATACTACGTCTTAGTGTTGCACGGATATATAGCTCACACACAAAGAACAAAGGATTTTTACGTGGAAAGCCCTGGAAAAAGGAAAAAATCACGGGGCCTGACCCAGTTGAAAATGACTCCACTAGAACTTAAGTTGGTTACAATGGGCTGAGTCGCCTCCAAGGGCGATCAAATTATAAGTATCAACTGTACGACTGAAATTCAAGTGTCAGTTGATGGTTCGACAGAACTTCGGGCCTTAGGTGGTGGTCTGGCAGAACTCTGGGCGTCAGGTGGTGGCCTGGCACGGCATAAGGCCTCAGATGGTGGTCCGGCGAAGGCGAAAGCCTCAGGTGGTGGTTCGGCGAAGGTGAGGGCCTCAGGTGGTGGTACTGCGAAAGCGATGGCCTCAAGTGATGGTCTGACGAAGGTGAGGGCCTCAGGTGGTGGTTCGGCGAAACTCCGACGTTGGTCCGACAAAACTCTGGCGGTGGTCCGAAGAAACTCTAACGGTGGTCAAGGAGGAGCTTCTTCCTTATCTTCTCTTCTTTTCTTATTCTCTTCTTGCATGGGTCCCTTTTCAAAAGAAATGAGGGGTCTATTTATAGATTTCTGAAGTGACATGGTCTGTAAATAGGTGAGAGATCAAGGGTAAATGAGGAGTGGTTGGATGGACGGTCGATGATGAATACCTTGATCATGGACCGTTTGATGGACATTTAAATGTCTTATTAATGTCAGAATTCAGTGATTTTTGGCTTGTTGGATTTGTCTTGTCGAGCCGCTCGATTCGACTATAAGCACGTCACAAAGCATTCATCACAAAACATTCACAAAAATCCATCGATAAAGCCTCTCGATGTAAAATAATTTGCAAAACTTCTAACCATAAATACATTCACAAAACTCTACGATGCAGAAATAATTCTTAAAGCCTTCTAAACATT